GACAGTGTGATACCGTTATAAGTAACTTGTAGTTGAGGAATTGGGCTACACCCCTTTCCGATGAAGGATGTTCGTATAGCTAAATAGTAAAGAAATGCAAAGAATTTCAAGAACGACTACTTATACAATAGTGAGTAGTATTGGTAAAGGAAGGTAGGATGCACATATGAGAATGTAAAAACCACCTAACTGGTTGCTATCAGGAAAATGTATTCAAAACGAAATTGTGAGAGCTGAAACTCCTACATACTGTGTAGCTAGAACACTAAGATGATATGGTTATATCACGATAAAACTTCAAATAACACTTTTACGTCCACGGTAGTGTTTCTACGACCATGAAGAATGTTTTTCATACATGTGTGAAAACACGTGGCATAACTGTGCATTTGGTTAGCTTAAACGTTGTCTAGGAAACCGACGTCCACATGCAGTGCACTGACTGTAGTCAAGGTTTATGACATAAGATTGATCTCACCTCCTTTTCAAAACCTTGTAACAATATAAATTATGGTGTTGGGCAATAATGCTAATGATAGGTGCCAGACTGAGCAACATCAGTGATGGAGGAAGTAGTTCCAAGTGCACACCGAGTCTGGTGTTAATGGCACTCTGTAAGAATGATGTTCATTCTTGCAGAGTGCCATTAACTGCATAAACCACTGTCTCGCCAATATTTGAGTTGAATGTTAAACTCTCTTGTCATTTTTCTGACATCGTAAAACTTTTAACCAGAAAAACTGTTCAATGAAAGTTGGTTTACTGATAGTGTTTACGCATGTGTCAGTACATATCAGCGAGAAAGGACGGTAAAACAAACGCAAAGTACTATTAGTTTCTGATATCACGCTTTGCACTTTGGTACTAGTTTTTCCTTCTGTATCATTTTACAAAATCTAAACCAGACGAGAGCGTTGCTATAGATATCATTAGTATATCACTTATTTTTGATGGTATATAAACATTTCATAAATACACTTCTTTACATCAACTATACGGTTTTAGTTTTTATTTTCGATTATTTAAAAGTACTTTCTTAGTTTATCATGAATATTAGAAACAAAACTCAAGATAATTTTCACTTCATGTAACAAAAATGATTAAGTTAATGTATTTAACTCTAGAAATATATTACACATCTTTATCCTAGTTAGTATTAGCTAAATTGGAATACGTATTTAAATTTTCCTTTACTGAAAATTTAGACTAAATTAATATTATACGTGTATGCGTTTTTACAGTTATGCATATAAACATATTCAATATTTTTTATATTTATCATTTTAAATATACAAAATTGTTTCTTTATAAATTACTCTAAACATTAAGATTTACTTTTTTATTGCAGTAACACAAGTTGTTTGTAATGGCAACGTTTGTTTAATACACTATTCTGACGTTATATTAATTTCCAAATGCTAAATGGCAATGGGAAAATAATTGTGGTTTTTATTAAATGTTTCTTGTTTTGTTTTAACATTTCTTTGGATCTGTATAGAAGTGAATCACATTTTTCTGCGTTGTTAAATGAATACGATGCTACTACCCCAAATATGCATTTACGCCTTCGAGATTAAGATACTACTTGCCTACTATATGTTTATCAGCTAGTATATTCTTTCAAACCGTTTTTTGATCGCTAGTAGCCCTTTTGTACATATCGTATTCCAATTGCCTTAAATCTGTATCTTTGTCTCAGCTTTTGATATTAACGTTTGTTTGGATTAAATCTATATTTAGAAGCATACATAGCTTATACTTTTAAATATGTATTACGAAACTCCTGCCTATTCTCTAATGTTGTAGAAGATTCATGAGTGTAAGAATCAACAATATATGTACGTACATAAACTCTTGTGTTAGCGCCAGTATTGTTACGTAAAGTTGAAAATCCGAGAAAGCTTTGTACTGTCACGTAATCTGAATTTTCTAGAAACTCTCCACACGCCTAAACATACCTATAAATATAACCAACGCGACAAAAGAGAGTGGCTATTATTGGTTTGCAATAGTCAGTGTGCTATAAACTTTGGAAGCTGTAACTGTGATTGTTATAACGCTTATCAATTGGAAAACTTCAGATATTTGACCAGGATTCTTTACCAAGTTCGAACATTACAAATCGTCTAACTTCAGTGGATTCTCATCCGACATTAGTATTTTTACGAAAACATTATTCAAATTAATGGTGGAAACTTGGGGTGTGTGGCTGGTAAATAGCGAAGGACAAAGCTAGCTAGCTCCCTGTTAGGTGAATTATACTTACGTCAACTCCTAATCAACTCGCTCATCGGGAACCCTCGATAAGATATCAAAGAAGTTCCAGACTAGAAAGAAGACTTTATATTGCTTGTACGCTTATGAAATTTGTTTTATAAATCATTGTTAGTAATAACTATTTGTATGAACCTTTATTGTAAGTTATACTGTTGTGTGTATATTAAAATGTAATTGTGTTTAAAAAAAGAAAACTGTGTATCAATCCTGTTGGCAAATATCATAAACTATCTATTTGCCGGCTTTTACTTAACTGCTATATCCAAAGTACAAGTTAACTACTTAATTTAAAGTATCATTTAGCTCGGTTTCAGACCATTTGAAGTTCTAATACGTAACACAGCTAACATTGGAGGTTTGCTCAAAAATAAAGTAATCAGGTAAAAAAGACATATAGATTATTTTACCTCCTAAACGAGTTCTGTTACTTCGATGTTTAATTACACTGGTCTTTCTTTGATGGCATTAAATTCTTATTCAGAGAAAATGAAAGTCTTTATGATGCTAAAACAATGAAATGATTATTTTGTTTACATCTTTGAAAGAAATTCCATTTTTAAGCACAACTAACAGTGTATTATTAAGATGAAATTTCCAGTTAACACTAAAATTACCAATAATGTCTAACAGCAGCTTTTCGGAATTTTTTCCTAAATTATTTATGTAGCAATTTCCTTGTAAGTCCATATCTTTGTTACTAACAGGAAATCCAATAATATAAGAGTCAATCAAAAAATTTATATAAAAATATAACTCATATGCCAATAAGTCCTACTGAATACCGCTGGGGACACTTTTATATTTTAGATGGAAAGTGTTTGACTTCACCCAAATTTGTGGTCACTTCTTTGTGGATGGTATAAAACCTAGTCATCAATTTCAAGGCTAATTTATTATAGCAGCTGGTGTTCACGCTTTTGTGTAAAAAATATCGTTTCTTTATCCTAGTTCTGGACGTCAGAAAGCATATTTTCTCATTTAATGTAATTTCTAAGTCTTCATTAAAGCGCCTTCCTGCAAATTTAAGATGTCTTTTCTCTCTCTCTTGTATATTCTCGTTTTCCGAAAGAAATGTTATATTTCCTACAATAAACAGACAGGAAATAAATAATTCCCATCCAAGAGATAGATGAAACACATATCACACGTGAAAGCTATTTGTTGTTGTTTTTTCTACTATCTTTGTCGGATAAGCCAGAATTGAAGACAGCGAAAATCAATGCAATCAAGAACTGCTCGTGACAAAAACAAGGTATTATGAAATATTTATAGACAAGACAGACGGCAACAAAGATGTGCCAAAACATTAAAATACAACAGTTATATTAATAAATGGTTATAACTATGTAAGCGGGTCAATTTGTAAATATACTTCTAAGCAAACTAAATTTGAATTGATGTTAAGATAAAATAATAGCATGATAATTCCACTGTTGTAATGGTAACATAAATAACCACACAGGTGGCACCTTAGTTTCTGTTCTCAAAGTCATGACAGATTTATACACAAGCGAGAAATATTGAGAGCAGCCACTATCCTAGCTGACCCAAAACTAGTTTCTACAAATATATACATTGGAGCATGTGACATAGCTGTCATGAATGAGCTGGTAAAGTTGTCATATGAACTAAGACCAATGATTATGATTTTTGTAATGTTAGTTTTTTATCGATGTATTTATATTGAAGGTGTAACGCATACTGACGTCACCTAAATAGATATGACAACCTCAACTAAAGGAAACGTCTAACATGTGTAAGCTTTCCAGCTGAACTTTCATCTGTAAGTCAGTTTAGTTAACATTGACCGATAAATGAGTGGTGGCTTGAAAATTAACTGAATCTCGAATCAGATTACAAAGAATTTCAGGCAAAACCAGCATTGACGAAGTGTACCTATTCAAATAAGGTTTTTGTTTAATAAAAAACTGGTTTTCTTTCATTATCACAATTATCTCGAGTCAAGCGTGATAAATCTTTAGCGTGCCAAGATTGTAAATCCGAAGGTTTGTGATTCGCAGTCAGTTGCTGCAAAACGCGCTCCGCATTATGGAGCGATGAGTGCGTTATAATAGTGAGGGTGAAATCTCTACTCGGTCAGACAAGATTAGGTTAATAAGAATTGCCGGTGAATGCTTTCCTCAGTCAGTCAGCTCAAAATAATGCATTGGTTAAAGTTGCGCGTAAATTCTAAATAACAACAGAATTAACTCCTGTCTAGTCGACTCGATCATTCTGAAGTCGCTGGTACGTGCTGGTTGATTACAATTTCGTTTTCAACTACGTGCCAGTGATTCAGAATCACCGGGTCTGCTGAGCGAATAAAAATTGTGATTTATTAAAAAATGCCTATTTGTCATTGAACAAAAATCAGTATTAAACAGGCAAGTCTCAGCAATGCCTCTATATAAAAATTGTAATTCTGCTTGTTATAACATATAGGAATTACCTAATAATCACTACGATTCCCATATGTTATAAAAAATATAAAAACATTCCCCTAAATATGTACAAACAAACTCTCAAGAAATCAAATACGTTAATAATATTTGTAAACGATTACTATGTCCATTGAAAGATAAATATATTGAATTAACCGTACCTAATAGATTTAAAAGAATCTCACATGAATGGGATTATTTACGTTTTTTTTTTTTTTAGTGTAAATTATAAGCTGTGTCATTTCTTTTCGTACTATGAGGATATCAAGCTTCGTGCCTTACCAGCTCGAACATGAATATCCGTGCTTGTGATAGAGCCCACTGAATTACTTGCAATACATCGAAAGGATCCAGAATGAATATCAGGCTGGTAGTCTTCCGCTGAGAATGGAGAAATCTCTAAAGAACCATCAGGTCGAGTGTGAACCAACTTGTTTTCCAATATAGTCAAACCACCACTCGTCTCCCAGCGAACAGTGGGGTGGGGTTGTCCATCTGCAGTGCATTTGATAACTTTTCCAGAACTGTTAGAGAATTCATATAGTCCTCCAGGCTCTTCAAGAAACCTCGGACCGGATACAAAATCCAAACCGCAAACGGCTTCAAATACTAAGAGGAAGAAGAAGCATTAGAAATATGGGTTGAGGACTCAATTAATGTTTTAAATAGCCATTTGTTAACCATATACATATAAAAAATAGACAATAATGTCCTGTCTAGACTGAAATCTAATACAAGAAAATATCGAGATATTCAATGATATGTACCAATAGAAATGACCTAATTAAAACGCATGTAACCAGCGCACTAGTAACAGAAAAGATCAAGATAATATCTTATTTGCAAATAGGCCTTCTTGATATAATTTTAAAGAGGAAGTACATCTTATCTTGATCTTTTCTGTTACTGTATCACTAGCAACTGATATATTTACTTTTAACATTTGTACGATATTTGGGATCAATACCACTGTTAGGTATAATGGTTTTCTCAAAAGCACTCTTAAACATTTATATTTGTTTTTCTGAGATATCTACCTACATATATATCGTTCATCAACTGTTTATACTATTCGTGGTGTTAATCTTAGATTGCGACTAAAAGAAACTTAACACCAGTATAACCGTTTAAATGATCCTAAATTGAATTTTATCATCAACTCTACCCGAACTTCTTTTCAGCTAAATATTATATATTCTGTACAATGTGTCAACTTGTTTCAATTTACTTTTATTATATATTTATATATTAATTAGAAAATCTGTGGAGTTGTTAAGCATATACCAAAGGTAAAAGAAGATTAAAAGAATTCTCAGCCCTCATGCTTCTTTTCTATCATTTTTAAATAAGCCTACAGTAAAAGACAACAGCCTTTCATTATGGCTACTAATCTCTACCACGCGAATCAGTTACGGTTTTTATGGCCTTTGTGAATGTAGTGTTTTATTATTTTGTCTTTAAAATTAGATATGTCTTCTACAGATCAACTTGAGCATGTAGTTAAGATTAAATTAGATTGATATTAAGAACATCACTGGGCTTCATAAACGACATTTTACGCTTTGGAATACCATTTCTTCCTTCAGTCTTCACGATACTACTATGTTCAAACTATAATCATTTTTCTCCTTAACTTTACTTTTACATACTTCTGAAACTCCTGTATGTTATACTGCTTGATCTAAATGATTCGAAAACATTTTATTTTCTCACACTTTTTAATGTTTTTGCAATATATATATATAACTACGTTATTTTTTCTGTGTTTTATGAAGTTAGGTTTGAGGAAGATTGGTTGTAGTTGAGAGAAGTGAGAAAGCAGCCAGCCTTTGATCACTCTCTTAGAGTTTTACAGCACTCTAACTCATTAAAAACATATTGGAGTAAACAGCCACTTTTCTATGTTAAGCCTGGAGACTGCCAGACTCCCTATGTTATGATTGATTATAAGGGCAGAAAGAAAGGGACCTGTTCGGCGTGGATGTGAAAATGAATATAAAATACACGAGTTCAATGAAAATATAAAAAGAAGATTAGCATATGTAAGAGAGAACGAATAAACTAGAGAGATGCGAAGGACGAAACTAATATGCTGCCAGTAAGAAACCAATCCTATTCCTAAATCCATGTGTTTTTGATTATCGATAATAAAAGGAATTTGTTATCCTTACATTAATATGAGTCAATTCCTGCTAGAAAGAAGTACAACTTTAATAAAGTTGATGGACATAATAAGTGAAAGCGAAGTGCGAGTATTGTACGGTCGCAACACCATGATTTTCAAATAATTGTATATTGTCGAATTTCGCGCAAAAATACTCGAGAGTTATCTGTGCTAGCCCTCCCTAATATAGAAGTGATAGACTAGAGGGAAGGTAGCTAGGTAAAAACCACCTACCATACCAACTCTTGGGCTACTTTAATCGAATAGTAGGATTGAGCATGACGTCCCCAAGGCTGAAAATGCGAGAATATTCGATGATGAGATTCAAATCCGAGGCAACACCTAAGCGTCCTAGCCACTAGGCCAATAATGTAATGACTAACGTAATTATCTTCCTTTTTCAGAAGTTCTGAGAATAAGAAGTAGCCTAGTTTCATACTTTTTATTGTTAATTAGTTAATAATAGTAGGGTGACTATTATAACTTCTGAAGCTTCGCGATTTAACCTAGCCAAAACCCCTGAAATATCATGATAAATTTCAGATCAGATCTGCTATTACTAATTTTTTACTTTTGACTTGAATATCGTTTAAAGGTCTGAAGAGTCCAAAACCATCCCAAAAACCGAAAGTTCAAGAGAATCGAAACTAATTTTCGCTATAAACTTGGTCAGGATCTTTGATATTTCAGCTTAAACAATAACCAGAAATAATTGAATAAGAGTAGAAACAGAAGTATACATGATGACCTTTACAAAGGAAACATTAGCATCTGAATGTACAACTTAAAAGTGTAAGAAAACGGCAGTTTTTGTGTTCAAAGAAGAAGAGAGTCTTTCTTCTTTTCACTTCTAGTTTCTTTGTATTCGTTTTTGGAAACTCTTTTTGTCCTCTTCTTCCTTGATGATTTTCTTTACATGAACATTCCATTGTGTCACATCTACATCAGTTGCATTTATTGCACTTGAAATACCTTTTAATCGTGCAGTTGGAAGTAACGTGAAGTATAGGGTTGTCTTCTGATGCTTCCATAGTGTTCTACACGTGTTTCTAAGCTTTTAAAGAGGAAATGGCAAGGGAAAAAAGCAACTGGTGTTTGCAGAAAATGGTAGATATTAATCAAAGGAAAGACAAAAAATGTTAAATAGCTCCCTAATAAAAATTATTACTGACATTTTCTTTTCACGGAATGGAAGCATTAATGCTTGGTATCGTTATAGCATACTTTTAGAAAAGTTGAAACTTTTCTGAATGAAAAATAATACAGATTTAACACCATTTTGGACTTTGGTAACTAGTGTATTTAGGGTGAAATATATATTTAAATCTATGATGTCAAAAATGTGTCTATTTGTCATTAAAGGGTTTTCAGCATGTTCTTCCTTTATAAGAGGCTAGTAAAGTTAAAAGTTGAAATATCTTACGATAACAGGCATTGACCTTTTGACTTACAACCAAAGTAATAGACTTGCCGTGCAGTAGAAAAATAAGCAATAATTCAATGCGTAAGCTTTACACTGATATCATGAATTGTTTAGTAACACGTCATTTAATCTTTTGAAGGATGCATCCATTGTTTATTGACGAATGGTTTGTAAAATACGAAAAGACGGCATTGCTTTTTATTGATTTGACTGACAAGACTCTACATAAATAAACAGTACAATGTGATCAATGCATCAATTAACAGTAACATATCGTTATGGGAACAGCATACTATTAACACAGGCCTGCGATGGTTTTATTGTCTTGAAATTTTTACGTGTTCTATGGTAATTCCTGTATGTTGAATCC